GACAATGTGAATGGGAGGAGAGTAAGATGGTCATGGGTGTGACTATGATCACAATGTATATATACATTTATGAAATTATTAAGGAAATAAACCACTTAATAAAAGAGTGTCAAAAAAGAAAGGAAGAAAAATAAGGCAATTACTAACCCCAGGAAAGAGGAAAATTTATACACAGAAGGAAATCTCATCTTAAAATGCTACAAGCCACAGAAGAAAACATCTCCATCATTATATATGAATGCAAACACCAGTGGGAAATCGAGAGGCGATATGCGGCTATGTTTCTCTGTGTTGGAAACGGTTAAATCCTTACATATTGTAATATGCAAATACAAGACTTCAAAATTGGCATTTCAAGTAATTTTTAGAAATGTAGATGCATGATTCAAACATGTAAACACAAGAAATTGAAACTGGTTACTTCTAAGTGGGACTTGTTTGGAAGGGGAACAATGGACTGCTATTTTTCGACAAAAGCTTATTAAGGCTCTATTATTTTAAAGCTGTGTGTAGTATCACAATCATGTTTTAAATTTAACTGTTTTGGAGGGATTCTTCCACTGCTTCTAGCACACTCTCCCTAGCTCGTTTTCTCTACCTGGTTGGCATCCATGCTCTCCCTATGTGGTTTTCTCTGTACTCTCTCTCTCCGGTTCAGCTTGGGTCCCTGATCAAGCACTGGAGTGCAAATGCACAGTATTTTCCATGTGACATGGCAAATACCATCTCCACTGTACCTTCTTAGCTTAGCTGTGTCTATTTGCACTTTAAACCACCTTAAATCATGCTTTAAAACTGTAGTTCAGGCATCGAAAAAATTTAAATGACTGAACCAAGACCCCCCTCAAAAAAAAAGGGAACCATTATGGGAATGTAGTCTACCTTTTCTTTCCCCGAGATCCCTAACTATACAGATAGCTTTACATTTACAATTTGTCTTGAGGAGGCTTTTTTTTTTTTTTTAAATCTTCCAGGCATGTGGAAGTCCTCGTGCATCCGTCAGGACCTGAACTTGACTTCTGTTTTGTAGCAGTACTGAAGAGGGTATTAGTTACTGGCGGCACGGGTGCCCAAATACTTTTCGGCTAGGAAACATTAAACATTTTGAAACAGACTTCTCAGAGAACAGCACAGCAGCACCCTGGCAGCTCTCATGGTATTCCTCAATGGGTATTTTTATCCCTCCGTCTGAAAACAGCAGCCTAAAAGGAGGAGGAGAACACATGGCCTCCTCTTGAGGCCAAAACTCTGCTTGAATATTGCCAAGTGATCTGCAACAGCTGCGCCCGTCGGGGGACAACATCAACTTGTGCCATCTGCCCGTCCCACCAAAGGTGAGGGATCGAGTGTAATCAGCTCCCCAAGTGGCAGCGTGGACAAATCTACGGGAAGTGACGCAAGCGTTCCGCCTTCCTTCTTTTTCTCTGTCCACGAAGGTGGGCACCATGGGGAGGTTCCCAAATCCTGGGTTAAAACTCAGTTCTGAAAATATTAAGAAAAAAAAACACATGGCAGAGGCATCGTCCAAAGAAGTTTTGCTTCCTGGATATACGTAATCCCACTGGAGGCTTATGGGCAGCTAGCCTTTCCCCTGCCCAAGTGATCTCACTGTTCCAGGGATAAGTCGAAACAGTTGGCTCATGACTAGGCTCTGTGCACATCCGCTCATAACCTACTAGGGATCAGTCACACGTCTATGAACCTATTTCTAAGCTATCATCACAGATTACATAGAAAACTGCCTGGTACATACACAACAGGCTCTCAGTGACCAGCAGCTGCCGAAAGGCCTGCGGGTAAGGCACTTGCTCCTAATGCCACACGAGTCATTCAGATTGTATTTATTTCACTTTTGTGACAGGGTCAGGGTCTCATGTATCCCAGTCTGACCTTGAATTCATTATGGAGCCAAGGTTGACCTGAACTTCTGATTCTCCTGCTTCTACCTCCCAAGCACTGGGATTACAAGCATGCACCACCAGGCCCAGTTTTCAGATTTTTCAAATATAATTTTTAAGATTCATGAAGGTTTTATCCCTAGAAAGAGGAAGAAAGGGCTCCAGATTGCAATTCCATTGAAGTGTCATGAAAAAAGACAGTGTAGATATCTTTATATTTCATTTTTTTTTGGTCAGGCAGGGTAAAACTAACCACCCACCACACCTCCTTGTCCACCACCAATCCAGTTTCTTTCCCTTTGTTTTCATTCTCCTGATCCCTACCCCCAGCCAACCATCACTTACCCCAGAGGCCATGCATTCAGATGACAGATGAACTATGGAAGTAACAGGCAGGAATGAGTCACCCTGGCTGTGCATCACCCTGCTCACTTAGGAGGTATGGGGCTCCATACATGGCAGGCCAGCGCTCTACCAACTGAGTGAGGCCCCAGCCTATACTCCTTTAGTCTTACAAAGAAAAGTCTACAAGTGACTAAGCCCAGAATGGAAGAGTTAAAAACCCATACATCTAGTCAAGAAAAGCCAGGACTCAAACCTCCGATTTATTGTATGCCCTTCCTTCTCTAAATCCCAGTTTCCTCCACTGTAAAAGGGGGTTAATTATACATCTTTCATGAAGCTTATGAAGGAATCAAATAATATAACAGATAATAAGTACACTCACACAATCACACAACCACACATATACACACACACAACCACATACACACACACCACACACATACACATACCACACACACACACATACATACACACCACACACATACACACGCACCACACACATACACATACACAAACCACATACATATACACACACATACACATACTCAGACACACACCACATGTATACACACACATACACATACACACAGACCACACACCGCACAACACACACCACACATATACCACACATACACACCACACACACATACCACACACTGCACATGCACACACACACACACACACACACACACACACACACACACACTCCACACATACACCTCCAGTATGCAACAGGTACTCAATAAGGACCTCCTTTTTTCTCAAGGCCAGAGAGTTAATAGTGACCAGTGCTAGAAGCCACAAACATTGCTGTTCTGAACCCCACCTAACATTTCCTCTCACTAGATCCCTGTTTCCCAGTCTATACCCCATCTTCAGAAGGATCTGGTCTGGTTTATTCTGGAACCTGAACACTGGACTGGGCACCGAGACACCTGCTTTCTTCACCCAGGAACCAGCCAGGATATTCCCTGTAGGTCCCGCTCTTCCTCTTGGCACTAAAACAACCACCACTTCATGAGATAACAAAAATCTGAACTACAGCCACTGGAATCACAGCAGGCCACTGTGAGATCCCCATAGGTCTGGAACCAGCCTCTAATTTGCTACAGAAATGCCCAAGGAATATGTTCTAACAAACTATAAAATGATTCCAGAAAATAGTCTTTGGGGTATACTTTTAAAATACAGGTTAGTGCCAGTTCCTTGCTATAGTAAATACAGTGGCAGGTAAACATGTATGTGCCATTATCTCTTTGGCAAGAAAGGGTAATAAGAGATGATGAGTGAGGATAGCATACAGGCAAAAGGGCACATGAGCCCTAAGAGGATACAAAGCTAATTATTTCTCCAGCTTCAACTCCATCATGGCTGTTTCTGTTTTATGTGGTGGATAAGTGTATAAAAGTGTAACTGACAGTGCAAGTGTAAAGAGAAGCTTCATAGCTTCAGAATGGTCATTCAGTCCGCGTAGTTCATAGAGATGTACAGAGTGTGGGACTGGGTAAGTGTCTGAGTGGCTGCAATAAACTAGCAGTGGGGTATTTTTTGTAAGTTCAATATAATAAAGTGACTTCTATCTTAAAGGATTCTCAGTCCGTATTAAAACATTTTATATTTTCTTAAAAAGAAGTCAGCAAGCAAACAAAAAGACCCATCCCATAATGTTCTCAAAGCAGAATGGTATGTGGGCCAGGAAACTTGCGTAACAAGGCAGTGTGAGGGAAAGGCCTCTCTGTAAGAGCAGAAGGAGGCCAAGTTGCTCAAGGCGAAGGATAAGGGAGATTGTTGTACACCCAAGCAGGAAGCCGGGCTAGGCATGACACTAAGAGAATGAAAATAAACTTTCTTTCCTCCAGGTAAACATGGTCCATGACCTTAGAGTGCATGGTAATCAGTGTTCATTGTCAACCATGAAGGGGATTAGAATCACCTTGGGAGCACACCTAGGTGTGTCTGTGGGTGTTTTCCCAAAGGTGTAACCGAATAGGGAAGACCCACGTTATTGTGAGTTACATAGTTTCACGGGCTTGGATTCCTTCCTAGGCTGAATGAAAGTGAGAATCTGGGGTGGGCAGCAGCATCCGTCCCTCGCTGACTACAGATGCGATGTGACAGCTGCCTTGCATCGACTTCCCCACCGTGCTGGACTGTACCCTAAACTGGGAGCTAAAGCCAACCCTCCCTTCCTTAAACAGTTTTTGTGGGGCGCTCCTTCTGGGGTTCAGCGAAACCCCTGCTCTCTGAGTAGAGAAAATCGATCTGGAGCGTGCAAGGCCATGCAGATCATGGTGCTTGCATGCACTGACCTTTGCCAGCCATTTCCTCAGCATTTCTGGAGCACAAGTCTGCGAGGCCTCCTCCGCAACTGCGCCTAGGAGGAAGGCCAGTTCCTTCTTGGCTCAGGTCCAACGCATCAGTCTCAAAGCCTCCAGACTGGGGCAAAGCAAAATCCAACCCATAGATTCTGGAAATGTAGTTAGGGACGAGCTGGAGGAGACAACAAACAGAGCAGCCGGGCGGCATGAACCCCAGGAGAAAACTGATGCTCTGCCACTGGCTGAAAAAACAATTACGGTTTTCAATATTCCTCCAGTGGAGACTCAGATTTAGCACCACAGAACGTAAAAATTGCAGGCCTGAGCCTCCCTTTTCAGTTCATCTTGGTAATCAGGAGAAATGGTTACACACACACACACAGAGTCAAATGCCTTTGAAACCAGGTTCCCAGGATTTAAAGACTGGACAACATTTGACTAAGAAAAATATTTATTTGCAAGAAATGGAAATACAAATGCATTACAATTTCATTTTTTTCCCAAACTAAGTACAAGTATACTACAAAGCTTTTTTATTTTATTATTATTATTTTTTTGGTATTTAATTAGCTATGATGAAGGATAAGAAGTCATAAAACAGTGCAACAGGTCAGGTGACAGACTCGCAATGTACTTGGATTCAAACAATGCTGACTTAAGGGTTTCAAAAGAGAGCCACAGTCGGTTGCCAGTCCAGGCAAGGAAAGCTGACCGATGACTACACCACCATCTGGACTCTGCTCTCTACTGTATAGGAGGGGTCACCCACAGTGTGTCCGAGTGCTGGTGTTTTCCATAGACCATACTGGGCTTTATTCGAGAGGGACAGTCTCTAAGCTGTGCAGGCCATGAGTGCCACCCTGCTGTTGAGAAGCAGAGAAATGGAGTCTGAACCCCCGGGTTCCCTTCACCCAGATGCAAAGCCTATGAGCTGTGCTCTCAAAAGGTAGGATGAGAAGGGCAGAAGACAGACCTGCAGATGGCATCTCAGAGACAGGCCAAGAGCTGAGCACTGCACAGTGCTGAGTGGGGCCACTGCAGTGGGTGAGCTGTTTCTGCCCAGAGAGCCAGACACAGTCTGTGTGTCCTCAGGAACGACTCCACAAACTACCATGCCTCCCACTGCATTTACTTCTCATGGCAACAAGCCACCCTCGCTCTCTGTTTCAATCAAGTTCAGAGGCTCAAAGCTTACTTAGCACAACACTCAACACTTCAGTAAATACTCAGGAAATAATATCTCTTTCCTTCTAGAAACCACGACAAAGTAAGGCAGTCCGGAATTTTATGATGCTACAAACAACCGTTAATGTTTTTCTCCCTAGCTCAGAGTGCCGACCTTTTGGCCCAGAGGCACAGAGCATTAATCTTCAAATGGGCTAGTGCCTTTGCGTCCAGAAAATGCTCTATGGTGAGGATTTAGAATACCTTTAATCCTGGCTGGCCACATTTTTGATGTGATTGCACCTCTATCTACATTTTCCTAATGGATATAACCCCATTTCTTCTCCCCTGATAGGCAAATCTAATAGTGGCTCATTTGTAGGGAACCATCTCTGAGTCTCTGGAGAAAGCGCCCATCCCCAACTTCAACCTAATACTATATAGTAACATGTGACACTTTCCAGGGACAGGAGATTCCTGTCATCCTGGTTTCAGATACAAGGCACATTGGAGGCATAAGTATCGAGGAGAGGGGTGTGTGTGTGTGTGTGTGTGTGTGTGTGTGTGTGTGTGTGCGTGTGCGTGTGCGTGTGTGTGAGAGAGAGAGAGAGAGAGAGAGAGAGAGAGAGAGAGAGAGAGAGAGAGAGAGAGAGAACTAGCATTAGTAGTAAGTACTTGAGTCTTCTGAATGGCTATTGACAAACTGGTTTTCCAAGTCCCTCTTATTCTACAACATACTAAAAGTGTCTTCTCCCATTTCCATGCCTCCATGTTGGCAAGGATCAGGCAGATGTCCACTCCTCATGTGGGGACAAGATGTCTCCATTTCTCTGCTGGGTTCACATATACACCTCACAAGGCACCTATATCTACAGGAGCTGGCTGAGAGACACTTCTAATTCTGTTCTGCTGCTTTTTCTGGGCCTGAGTACATGGGATGGAGGGGACACAAAGTGCTAGAAAGAATTTTAACAAAATGCCTGTGGTAAAAATGATGGACGTGGACTCTGTACCGGCATGAAGAGGAGTCGGTCTAATATCCCTACTGTAGGTAGACATAAGATTCATAGCCATAGGCACTCGAGTGGAACTGGTGATTGAAAGGGGGTACCTATTAACCTGGTATGTATAGCTTGTTAAGTAATGTGGCCCCAAAGCTGTTTTCCCAATCCACAAAATCACGTCCATGGACAGAAAGGTTATCTAATTGCCTGTACTGATGTCAGATCCCACCCCCACCTTCTGCCAGAAAGGAGCAACTGAGTTCAGCTGTCAGATTTTTATAGAATGCTTCCTTTCTGTGAGCTACACTCCAGAGTCCTGACACTTCAGAGGCTCTCCCTCAGTGCTGGTGCTGACTCCTCTCATTTGCAAGATCCATTTCCCAGTGTGAAGTTGGGAGCTCTGAAAAGCCCCGAGGGAGGGAGGGGCAACTGGGTTACTCAGGTCTCATCTACAGGAAAAAAAAAAAAAAAAAAAAAGACTTGTTCTCTAAGTCTTTGCAAGACATCTCCATCACTAAAGTGATTTTAAAGTGTGTGTGTGTGTGGGGGGGGCTGTTTATAGAATAGAAAATACAACCAGCAGGCTAATTGTTCTGGCTTCTCTAAGAGTCTAGCGGTCTTGGGTATTTTCAAAATTTCAATTCAAGGTGTTAAAGCCCGCCACTATTCAAAACCTTCAGATACATCCATAAGTTATTGACTGGTCTGGGGCCCAGCTCAGTTGGTGGGAAAAACTGATACTCTAGCCTTAAACTCTGAACAGAAAGTGTGCACACATCCATTAATTACTTGCAACCCATCCTGTCTTATGCCACTCTGGGTCCCCTGACTGCACTGAATATCGCAGAGGGATCACCCCTTGGTCCCCTTTCCTCACCACGCCAGGAGCAGAGGGCAGTGTGGGCTGCTGAGAGCTCCTTTAAAGGGCTGTTTGAGTTCTCTGGCTAATGTCCCATGTCTCCAGTTACAGATTCTATTCTGGAAGGCCCATGTCCCACAGACAAAGGGCCCTGCTGTCTGGAGACAGTGGCATCCAAAAGAGTAGGTAGAGAAGAAAACAAAGTCCTCGGAGAACCAGATAGGACTAGACAGTTCCTTCTCCCCCCTCATCCACAAACGGGGTCTCCACCCTGGCTCTCCAGGCACATTAAAAAAAAAAAAGAGGTTCGGTTCAGCAGATGTATACAACAGCCGAAAACTCCACTTCAGCCCTCTATTGCAAACTCTCCCTTTCTCATCACACAAATACCACCTCATCCTGTTTTTTTTCCCCCTTCTTAGGCTCTCATCAGCATTTTTTATGTTTACTGTGCACAAACATCTGGCACTGTAAAGAACAGGATGGGCCAGGCCCAGGAAGAGCGAAGGAAGAGAGAAGACCAAAAGGAAGCAGAAGCAGGTCACTAGCCACTCTCCTCTCTGTACAGTCCAGGCATCCGAGTGTAAGGGACAGGGACAGCCCTGTGGGCAGCAGGGCTGCCAGGATCACAGTGGCCTTGAGGTGGGTCTCACACATCACAAGTGAGCTTGGACATCTGCCAGCTAGGAACCCACTGCAGAAGGGAGGGAAGGAAAGAGGGAGAGAGAGAGAGGGGGAGGGAGGGAGGGAGAGGGAGGGAGGGAGGGAGGGAGGGAACACTCGCTATGATGACCTGAGCAGACCAAACAGGAAGCTGCTCATGGGGCATGACAGCAAACACTAACGGCACCGAATCCTGTATGTGACACAGAACGCAAGGGCCAGTGTGGTCATAATCCCTCTTATACAGGCTCTAACGGTCACATAGATGACAGAGGAAAAAAATGAGAGAGAGAGAGAGAGAGAGAGAGAGAGAGAGAGAGAGAGAGAGAGAGAGAGAGAGAGAGAGGCCAAAACTAAAGGCCCTTCAGCTGCTGCTAAAAATAAAATACAAAGTGTAAGCACATTTCTTACATAAAATCTTTTACAAGTTGGGGAGAAAAAACGCTTAAAAAGAGTCTTCTATCTTATACAATAAAAGAGTAATTTCCATTTCTTATTTGTATGAAAGAGAAAAGGGTTTTTTTTTTTTTAACTACAAATTTTACTTTTTAATCATAAAAAAAGGAAAGGAGTTTGGGGGTTCGTTGTATCTCTTTGGGTGAGCTGCAAAGTAGCCAAACCTGACTGTAAAAGGTATGACTGTGGGTGCACAAATACCACCAACTCCAGCCCCCCCTACTTAAGGCAGGTGGAGAGAGGGCAGAAGGGAGGGAGGGAAGGAGAGAGGGAGGGAGGGAGGAGGGCACGCAGGATGCACGACAAGCTAGCAAGGTTGTCAGCAAGGCCTATTGTCAGGGCACGGCTTCCCCGTCTCTGATCCAGCAACACAGAGAGAGAAAAGAAAACACGCGGCCATAGAGCCCGGCGCCTGAGCAAGAAGACAGTGTTCCATCACTCCCCATGTATTCATCCAACAGGGGACACGTGCTCAAGGGGACCTCCCAGCAGTGATTATCTTATAGGTCCCCAATTTTAAAAAGAAAGGAAAAGGAGAAAATAAGGCATCAACTAGAAATACTAGGGGTCCCAGATCCTGGGGACTCTCCTGTTCCAAAGGCCAACAGAATTCTTCGCTTGTTGGAAGGGGTCATGGAATTTCTTTGCTACAGTCAGCGGGGAGCGTCAGCAAGCTAATAAATACTATTTACAAATAGAAAGGGGAGGCCAGGGAGCCAGAGCTACTGTCCCGTGGGGATGCAGGCTGTGTGTGGTGTGTGGGTGGGTGGGTGGGTCAGGGGGTATCCTACAAGCAACACAGTGGGCAGGGTGGCCTGGAGGAGAAGAGCCTGATGCCTTCAGGAATTGCACTTGCGGCCTGAAAAAATGGTGGGAGTCCCGTCTGCCTGTGCCAGCAGTCAATAAGGGCTCCAGGGGGCAGAACGGGAGAGAGAAGACTGGAATGACACTTGGGTACTCTCAGTGGGGGCAGGGTCACACTGGAGTCCCAGTGAGCAAGAGGGGTCAGAAGTCAGTGCTTTGCCACTCCCTGGCGCGTGTGTGGCATATTTGTGGCCAGAGTCTGGGGTCTCAACTGGACACGAGTCCTGTCTCCTTCGCAAGAGTCACACCTCACCGGGAAGAATCAGGCAGTATCTTCTGGGTACTGGTGGAAACAAGCCTGTTCGTCCCACCCCTCCCTCACCCCTAAAATAATTTCCTATGGCAGTAAGAGAAAGGGATGGAGAGGCGCCGGCTCCCTTCTGGGTAGAGCCATTGGGGACGGACGTAAAGCAGAAACCCCCAGCCTGGCCTCCCATCTCAAGCCACTAGCACTAGTCCACATCCTCCTCAAGATCCAGGGGTGAAGGGGAAGCGTATGGGCAAGGCAGTCTGGGGACGCGCAGCTGGAGTTAGGGGAAGAGGAGGGCGGAGAGGGCTCCTCAGAAGGTGGCATTCACTCTCCTCTCCAGCTCTACGACTTTGAGCGTTTCGTTCCCTTCCAGTTTGCTGCTGACCCTGTGAAGACATCAAACGGAGAAAGAAGTGTTAGCCACTGGATTCTGCTACAGTCCTCAGACTCCACATCCTGATTCAGTCATGCCTTTGTGGGCTGACCCTGGCAGACTCTGTTAAACCCCTAGTGTTATTCTTGGCTCCTTGAATCTGCCACTAGTCACATGCCCACCGAAACATTCCCACCTTCATCTGGGCCCAGGAGACCCACAGTAGTTTTTGTTTGTTTGTTTTTGTTTTGTTTTTGTTTTGTTTTTCAAGACAGGGTTTCTCTGTTTAGCTTTGGTGCCTGTCCTGGAACTCACTCTGTAGCCCAGGCTGACCTCAAACTCAAACTCACAGAGATCCGCCTGCCTCTGCCTCCTGAGTGCTGGGATTAAAGGCGTGCGCCACCACAGTAGTTTGATGCTGACTTATTTCACATTCATAGCTGTTCCCTGTTTCTGAATGGCCTCAATGCTGTAAGTTTTGGGAAGGAGAACGCAGGAGGAGAAGGGCTGATACCTGCTCTAGAATTAAGAATCCAGACAAGGACTTTTTTTTTTAAATGAATCAACTTAAAATAATACACAATATATACCATAAAGTAGATACATGATCAAAGTCTCCAGCATTATGAAAGGAGTCAGGGAGGCTTTATGATTTGGGAGACATCATGGTAAACTGAGAGATCTGAATGGGGCTTCCAAACACTGAGCTAGGAGAGCAGACTGGACTATGAGCTGTGTTATCCAACAGCTCAATCTCCCAGGGCTTCCAATACTGGCTCCAGGTTCTCTCCATAATGGGAATAAAGTTAGGGCTGTGCATCTTGGGATACTGACAAGGTTTGTTATGATGACACACACAGGTGGTGGTTAGTATTAGTAAGTGTTAAACACGTGCATGTCATGCATACATATAAAAGTACATAGGGTTATGAACTCTGCTGCACAGAGTGAGGAAAGAAGTGAAGAATCCGAAACGAAATCTTTGCTACTGACCCTGGAGCAGCCCTATTTCTGGGCCATCTAGAAGCACAGATTAGCTAATTCATCAGTTTCACTACACATCACCCAGAGGGTAGAGGGTGCACACGTGCTTCCCATGCTGATCAGCGTCCCCAAGTGCCGCCACGCACAACAACAGTACCTTAAGATCACATCATCCATGATGATTTCAAAAGGGTCCCCACACCCAGATATGTGAGAGGAACAATGTGTGGAGAACTGGAGCCATAAATGGATGATTTTCAATGTGGAAAAAATACAGTGTTTCATCAGCACTGTCCCTCAATACAAATGTATAAATGTATACAGGCTGAGCATCACCAGTCCCCAAACTGCTAAGAATGGAAACTTTCTAACCTAACGTAAACTGCATGTTTAGACTTGGGTCTCATGCCCAGGACACCTCATGATGTATATGCAAATATTCCAACACCTGGAAACTATTCCACACACCTTGTGGTCCCAAGCATTTTACACAAAGGGCATTCCATCTACAGTTACAGCTAATTCCTGTGCGCTGACATGTAATCAATACATTAATCAACCATTAATTATATTGATACCCACCCAGCATGACATTCTTTTCCTCTCTAGTGAGAAGGAAACTATAGAACTGGATCAAAAGTGCATTTGCAGAACAAGCTCTCTGATGTCACCAGGCTTTTTTTTTTTTTTTTTTGGAAACAGGATCTCATATAGCTCTATGAACTAACCATGAACTCACTATGAAGCTGAGGCTGGCCTTGAATGACTGACTTTCCCGAACGCTAGGTTTAAAGGTATGAGCTACCACATCTGGTCACTCTGAGAGAAAAACTGAGATCATGACTGAAAGAACTCACATCCCCTCCTGCTCTACGGGGTCATCGCTGCCAGCTCTGGGTTGATGATGTGGATACGAGATTAGCTCAACCTAGACCTTTTCCCTGCTAACAGCCATAGCTGAATCTCCCCAGTGCTAGCGCTTAAGACGGGTCCTGAGAGAGCTCTGGGAGAGTGTGCCCCCTGCAAGGGCTCACTCCTACTCCATCATCAGTCACCAGATCTGCACCTACGCGACTCACAGGTGTTGCTGAAGCTCCATCAGCACTGACTTCTCCAAGCTGGTCTCGTTGGAGATGATGAAGTGGGGAAGATCCACCTCTGGCAGGGCCTCAAGCCCCGACGCCCTGAGCAGGGAGGAGCCTCTGTCCCAGCCCCCAAGCTCTCCAGCTGAGGCTGGACTGGATGACTCCTCCACGGGAGAATGTTCCTCATAGATTAGCAGGTTCCTGGATTTCACTGAAGAAAGAACAGAGCCACAGATATTAGCAAAATAACACAGGATGCCCACACATGCTCTTCACTCTAAATGCCCAAGGCCAACGGCAGATGACAACATGCTCCCATCCTCTGGGATGGGGAGTGCCAGCTGGGTTTGGCTTTCTGTAGTGGCTTCAGGTTTCAGGGTTTATGCATCAAAAATTATAGCAATTATACAGGCTGGAAGAGCAACATAAAGCAAACCAATGCAAAGCCAAATTCCCCCATCACTGGCGTTAAGGACAACTTCTTTCATCCCTTCCCATAACTGTCTCAGGGAAAACAATTCATGGAAAATGTGGGTCAAACACTTGGAGCTGTCAAAACCCAGCTGAATGAGGAGGCATCCCCAGAAAGCAGGTCTTAGAATCTGCAGAGACAGCCCAAAGCCAACCCAGCAAGTCAGAGGGAGACAATCTCTTCTGTTGCATTATGGGACAGTCACACAGCTAGATGACTCTGTAGCCATTTCCTGGACATAGAAACTATGTGCCCATTAGCTTCCGAAATTTAGAGCTATTTCCCTCAGGAAAGAAACTTTCCAACAAGCCACTGAAATTATCTTAATGGAATCCATTTTATCATGTATGTGGCCTGGATATACCTAACTTGAAATCCACAGACATTTTGGGGATGGCAAAATTGTCCCTTCCCCAAATCCTGTGTTTCCTAACTCTGTGTGAGCTGTTACTAACACAGCTGTGCCAATCTGTGGATAGTCCTTCTTTGTCATCCTTCTATTTTCCAAATACTCCAAAGACATCACTGGCCAAGGGGAGGACAGGTTATCCTGCCTACGAGAACACCAGAGCCTCCGACTTCTCTAAGTCTCGGGCATGAGACAGACCAATTCTTTAATTTTGCTGTAAACTCTTACTACAATAGCATATAATTCCACTCGGGGAGTCGGAGACACAAGAGTGACCACGGGAGGTCAGAAAAACTAAACATCCTCCTTACTCTCCAGTCTTCCAAAGCCACATCCCCCAGACCAGAACTCAAAGGTGGGGGCAGGCCAGAGCTTTCCTGGTGCCACACCAGGGAGGCCAGGGGCCCCTCCCAGAACACCCCACCTGCAGATGAAGAAGCTCCACTTCTACACATCGGGCTTCCCGATGAGATTCCTTGCAGAAAGCCGGGAAAGCCAAAGAAAGAAGCTGAGACTTACCCACGGAGGCTGTGTACGGCTCCGACAGGCGATGCTGGCTGGGCAGGGCCATCTTGGTGGCAGAAGGATAGGGCCCATAGCCCTGAAAGAAGCTGCCGAATGCAACGGCGAAGCACAGCACAACGACCTGGAGGCGAGGAGAGAACATGGGGAGCTATGGACCCCAGACTGTGGGGAGCGGGCCTGCAGAGACAAGCCACCCACCTGGGATCACTGGGAGAAGGAAGAACACCCCTCAGTCAGGGGACAGACCACACCCTCAGTCATGTCCCTGCAATGACATGCAGAGGGGAAGCCTTGGAACGGGATATACGGTCTCTCTGGCTTCATTCACGCTTGGCATTTTCAAGGTAGGGGAATCTGGAAACAGGGAGCTGGCTGGAGGGAGTCCCTTTGGGAAACTCACCATGAGGCAGGTGCCGGTCTGTGTGCCAGCTAACTTGCAGGTCCGAGAGACCTTCCCCATCACCAGAGTCTGAAGCTTCTGAAGTTGCTGAAGGAGAGTCCTGCCAAGGTGACAAGTGAAAACCAGGAAGGGACACATGAGACAGCGATGCTCTGAATGACCCTCCTGCCGAAGTCACGGTGGCTTCGCGTCTGCATCTGAGCAGGGTCCAGAGGGGCTGTTTCCTTGGGGGAAAGATACCGCCTGAGGACTACACCTGCTGGTACCATCACTGCCGAACCCTCTGGAGCTTCAACATCAGCCTTGCTGACAGCGTTATGGCTGGTCCCGTTCTTTAGCTCCTCTGGGGAAGAGAGGAGCCCCCAAATAACCCCTGACATGCAGAAGCTTGTCTGTCAGCTAATTAGCAAAGAAAAAGGGCACTCTGATTGGATGGTTACCATACTTTAAAGTTTCTGTGTGCCCTCTCTCCAAGTCCACATGTTTACAGTGACCCTGCAATATGGTGTTAACAGGCAGGGGCATGGTGGAGGTGACTAGGCCTTGGCAGCGGAGTCTTCATAACAAGATTGGTACCCATATAAGGAGCTGAAAGTAGACATCTTCCATTCTACTACACAAGAACACAGCGAGGAGCTACCTTCCTTCCATGCACCAAAAGGCATCCCTCACAAGACACCACATCTGCCAGCACCTTGATCTTGGCTGCCTCAGCCTCCGGAACAGTAAGAAATAAATTTCTGTTGTTTCTAAGCCACGCCATTTATGGTATTGTGTTACAGCAGTCTGAGCCGACTGGGGCAGTGGTAATTGCAAGGAGACTCATTTCACCAAGAGATGAGAAACACTGATCTATAAAAACAAAAACACGAGAAGGAGAAAAACAAAGGCCAGCCGAGAACAATTGGAGGAGTGGCCTTCGGTGCTGACTGTGACTGGAAATGGCCAGGGCATCACTGAGTAAGAGTATACAGCGCATACTGCAAGTGAAGGGAGGGAGAAGGAGAGAGGGAGAGAGAGGAGGAAGGGGGAGGTTTTTTTATTCCCCAAATAGGACAACTGTGATGGTTCAGAGATGAGCACAGCAGTATATGCTCTGTGTAATATCAAGATGTAGTCGGCGAACTGCTCTGCAAATCCTGAACCAAAATGGCAAGACATGGCAGGGACCTGGCAGCACACCCTCCGGGATTACAGTGTCCCCCAGGAACCCCGTGTGTCCAGCATGAGGCACTGGAGCCCCTCCTCACCCTTATCTCCTCAAAGCCAGCTTACATGACAGATGGAAAGGTTTTATGAGAAAATGTGGTCTCCTGAGCATCAAAGATTTTCAGAAAAATGCTCACCATGACGTGAGGTGTCAGAGCCAAGCAAGAATAATTCTGGAATGTCCTCGAGGGCTTGCTTCTCATCATAGCTATCTCCCCACAAATGGCTTTCAAATGCTGGACACACTCACAGGCTTTTCTAAGGTTTGTAATCCTTCCCTGGCCAGTATCAAAGACTTGAGTTCTCTCAGTTTAAGGAGAGTTTTGCCTTCTGCAGCATAAGTAGTGGTGGGATTGGTCGGTGAATCAAAACAGCCCTCAGAATACATGGTAGAAGCTTTCCGAACTCAAAAGGAAAACCCCATGGTCCCACCTACTCCATGTTTTTGCTTTGTAGAATAATCTATAGATAGTGAAATGATATTTACTATAGAAGGCTATTGTACTTAATCATACTTTTCATTTTGGTTATATAAAAGCATGGCCAGATGTGGTTAGACATGACCTGTATTTATTTATCAAAGTAGGATACGCTTTAAAAGCACACTATATGTTGTTCAAGGCCAAGAAATCCTGATAGAGCATCTATTTTAAATTCTACTTTAAAAGTTCATAACCAAGAGCTGCTGTGCTGTAGAGCCTTCTTCTGTCACTGAATTTATTCCCTCTTCTATCAAAACTTCTTCAGAACACCTCCGCACTGCCTAACAGCACAAAGCCCCACCACAGCATCTAATACTGAGCGGTCTCCTGCCTGGCCACTGGCGAGCAGACCTCCTTCTAGTGACTAGAGATTCTGCAAGCCAGAGCATGTGTGGGACAGACTGTCATCTGTGGTGCCAGCCCCCAGTCCCTTGCGAGGTTCTCCCCGAAGTTCTGGGACTTCGATATAAGCAAGTACACAGAGAGGACCACATCTCCCGAGGCACCAGTTCTTAGGGTCATGGAAAGCTGTACCTGCCAAGCTACAGCGGTGGCCTCATTGCTTCCAGTGTTGGCTGACACTTTGACTGGGTGCCTCAGCTCTGCCTTGAGCACTCGGCAGCCAGAATGCAGACTCAGCTACACTCTGCGCAGGTGCAGGCGTCCTCTCTCCACCTAGCCTTCAGCTAGACAGACTCTTCCCAAGCTGTACCAACACCATCTACTTTGCTCCACTGTCCTCTGGTGTTTTGGAAGCAAAACTGTCCTGGCTAATTTTTTTTTCCCCAACAATCCCTGTTTACCATCAAACATTCCATACTTCTCCACCCACCCCACGGTTCTTGCCCAGCTTCCATATTGCTTTCTTTTTTTTTAAATTTTATTAACTGACTAATTAATTCATTTCTTCCCAGCCTGGTCACAGCCCCCCTCCCCTTTCCCCAGTCCCTCCCCTCCTCCCACCCACTCCCTCTCCCCCAGCCCCAGAAAAGCGCAGCCTTCCCATGTACATCAGCCAGCCACGGCACATCAAAGCCCTAGCAAGACTAGGCACCCCACACACACACCAAGGCTGGACGAGGCAACCCAGTATGAGGAATAGGGTCCCAAAAGGAGATAACAGAGTCAGAGACAGTCCCTGCTCCCACTGTCAGGAGTCCCACAAGAAGACCAGGTTACACACTGTAACATATGTGCAGAGGGCCTAGGTCAGCCCCATGCAAGGTCTCTGGTTGGTGGGTCAGTCTTTCCATATTCGTGTGAGCTGCTGAGAAAACAGATTTCCTGAGACAGTAGAAATACCCCTCCCTTCCAATTTCTAGCTGAGATGACTGGGGTTAGTATCCCCTTCCCTAATTTCTCCCAGAGGACACCAGGTCTCCCCCTGAAAAGGGACTTCTAGTGAGGCGGAATCACCTAAAGCTCCTTGAGAGAATAAATCACAGGTTCCAAGCCAGAGCTCCATCTCACCCTCCCAGTCACAGGCGCCAAGTGCTGTAAGTTTAGGGGAATCGCCGCAGACTCACTGGAGGACGCCAGGAGGGCTGAGCTCACTACCCGGAGGGGCTTCACTTGGCGTCCATCAGCTTATCCTTCCCAGACTCAATGCTGATCACAGTGTACACTGAGTCAGCTGCAGTGAAAACAGCCATTTAATGGGTCCCGATTCCTAACAGTTTATAATCCAGATCCTGAAGATGAGCAAACACGTAGATTCAAATACATACTTCTAGTCTGGCATTCTGGCAGACCACAGCAGCTTGATGACATGCAGTTTGCTGCTGCTTTTCCTGCTGGGGTTGGTGGGGTGAAATGAAATGATGGTGCGTGTATGTGCATATGTGCAGCACTCCAGAGGCCCTGCCAGTCGGCACCCCTGAAGCATCCTGACAGGGAAAGACAGAGTAACTCATCCACCTCTGGCATTCACATAGGTTCCTGTGAGCAAACAAGGTCTGGGGAATTCACGTATAATGTCCGGGAGCTGACACGCTGGTAATGAGTCATCGCCTCAGGGAAGCGTGACCAGTGAGCCCCGGGGCCACGGCGTCAGCCCAAACCACCCGACTCCACAGCTTGCATGCCTTCTGATATGTACCACAGAGTCCCTTCCTCAACACCCTAATGAAATTCACAGTAAAACACTTCTCAATTACATTCTCTTAACATCCAGTCACGTTAACGTGACGGTAACGTGGCTGGAGTATCGTGTGCGGTGTTAGACATGAAACGTCACCATGACAAATGACCACAGAAGGGAGAGCTGTAACGAAACTCGGGCGAAATTAAAGGGCTATAGTAACAGCCAGTCCAATGGCAGTGAGGTGTGCGCCAGCTAACATTCAGTTAATAATGACACAAATATATGTGTGGGAGGTGCGTGTTTACACGTGAGTATGCATGTATGTGATTGTGTGCTCATGTGTACCTGTGTGTACACGTGTGTATGTGTATACGTGTGCGTGTGCGTGCGTGCGTGCGTGCGTGCGTGTGCGTGCGTGTGCGTGTGTGTGATAAAAGCAGAAAGGGGACCATGAGAGAGTGTAATGAATACAGGTGACTGGGACACAGAGGGGAGAGAGAAGCAAACAAATAAGCAAGTTCAATGAGATATATAGGAGAATGCCATGATGGAACCCATTCTTTCCGTGCTAACTTTAAAACATTCATAAACATACAGGAAAATAAACCCCGTGGAACCGCTAGAGGAGTATTAAAGACAGTGCACGTGACAGACAGACAGACAGGCTCCGATGAGCCCCGCACAAGCTTCGGGGTCGGGAAGTCAAACTCAGGATTGATTGACTGATTTATATAACTTATTTATTTAGACAAATGGAAGAGATGAGACCTGCTCCTCGGTCAGACGCCGAGGAGATGGATCACCCTAGCGATGCTGAGCAGGTGCATGGATGGCAGGATAGGAAGGCTGGCTCTGAGTGCGGGGCAGCCCAGTTTAGACCTCACCATGACAACTCCGAGCCTCTAATCAAGTCACGGAAGCCGTGTGCTTCGGCCGCTAAGCAAAGCTAGTTTCCCTAACCACATCAGCTAGCGGGATCACGGAAGAATCGCTCCGCCTGGAAAGCTGGTTGGTGAATGGTGCGTCTCTGAAAAGCACTCGAAAGCCTCAGAATGGATATAATATTCCGGGGTGATGTGGGGCATTCTGTGATGCCACCAGGACGGGCATCGCCACCCGCAGCGCTGAAAACCTGGATGACAACAGCCGGTCAACCAGCCCGGAGGACTTGATGTAAGGAAGGCAGCTATCAGGTGAAATGGAAATACTATTTTAAAACTAGTTATGAAAAACAGATCTAAGACCCCAGCGGTCCTCCAAAGCGCCGTACACACTTCCCCGTATTACCATATTTTGAATCATCAGTGAGTAAGGCCAATTATGGTT